AATAAGCAAAAAAGCGGTTGGTCAATGCAAATGCAACCATTACGTTTTCTTCCCACCGAAAAGAGAAACAAAAAAAAAAAAAAAGAAAAAAAAAAAAAAAAAAAAAAAAAAAAAAAACCACCCACATCCAATAATCCAACCCCCCGTACCCCTATGTACCTACCTGAGGTACCTACTTAGTACTAGCAGAACCGGGAGGTATGTACCGTAGCTGGAGCGCTCCCTAACCCGACCCCAGCCCCAGCCGCAACCCCAGCTGCAAGCTTGCCCCTGGGGGAGTGAGTGGTGGACAGTCAGTTCACCAAGCCACCGCAACCCTCCAGACAACACCCACAAGCACAAAGAATGTAATTGGAGTATGACGTATGCGGCTTGCGAATTTACGGGGAAGATCTTAATTTCCACTCTGCATACTTACTTACTTAGTCTAGTTAGCTACCTAGATGGGGGTTTGGTTGTTATACATGTCTTTTCCCCTTCTGGTTGTGTGTGTGTGTGTGTGTGTGATTGAATGGGGGCTAACTAGATACTCTCTTGACCCTGGATGTACAGTACTTGCTGGTAGTACAGTAGTATTATGAGTATGTACATCATTGTGTAGTTGGAGTTCTACATGCCCAGGGTCGGGAATTTACCTACCTCCCCGACAAACCTACACAGAGACATACTGAGCTACTCTACCAAGTACCAAAGTACCAGAGGATTCATACATGTGGTATGATCTTGACTCTCCGTCATAAGGTTCCAGGTTTTCACGCTTTCGGGCCGGGACGCGGTAATCAGTCTGATCGATTTATCATTGGTTGGTTGATTGATTCTGTAGCTGAAGGCATGGATCGTTGGTCATTGATCCATCGCTTTTCACTTCCGATCGGATTATACCGGGTGGTATGACGGTAGACGTCGCATGCGCTGTACTAGGGATAGGTAAGTAGGTGCAGTACCTGTATGATTTGTGTCGGTGTGGGTGGAGTCCTGGTTTATGCGGAGTGATGGCATTGCATTTGATGAACCATGTTCTTTGTGTCTCAGGTTAGGGTGATGTTTCATACCTACCGAGGTACAGTTGACTGATAGATCGTGTGAATGGGTTGGGTCGGTGAGGTTTAATACCTTACTGCTATTACTATCCACCAGGATGAGGCTTGAGTCTTGTTCTACAAAACGAAATCAATGTTATCAAATTTCTTTTTTCATTTCAATGTATCAACAACGGCTCGCTTCTGGGTATGATAAGCAAATGTCTTGAGGCCAAATGAAAATGAACCAAACGAAAAGTCGCAAATTCCGAATCGTCAGACCGGGACGATTCCAATGTACACAAGGGGGAGGCGGGTGAGAGCGATGGTGATGATGCTCGCAAGTAGAGGGTGAAGAAGAGGCGGATGAAGGCGGATGGTGGTTTGGTTGTGAGGTCGGATGACGTGGACCCACGATGGATGGTGACAAGGGGTGTTGATTGACGATAGTTTAATGGTGTTGGGTGGTGGGTGTTGATGTTGATGAAAAACCACATGAAGATATTGGCTGCTCCGTGAAAATGCTTTCCCGCCTTTTTGCAGACCATGAGAACAAATGCGCCCAGTGCGGTTCCTTATTTGGAAAGAGAAAATGATGGAGACAAAACAAAAAACAAACGAGTCTAAGTATCAATCCCAGTCAGAGTCCCAACGCCACGCGTGCTATGCCAATACACAAAGCCTCCGGTATGATAAGACAAGTAGGAAAAGAAGAGGAATAAAACGAAGGCAAGAAATGGAAAGAAAAAGTATAAACAGTAGAAGGTAAACAGATCCGGGGGTTGGTTTATCATCGGCTTTGACAGGCAGCATAAACCAAATGTGCTACCATCACGGATCACGCGCTGGCATTGTTGCCAAGACTGTAGGTGTCGATCGATGAGAAGGCTCCCATAGAAACAGAAAAATAAATATGCAATGATGTCACAATCGTTCTTCGGGACGTGCGCGATGCGAATTGACGTGTGGGTCGGGGACAAGCTGGGTGGCACGGCAGATTAAGTCGGCCAAAGTCGTGAGATTGTCATTATGATCGCCACTCCCCAGGTCATATTGAATTCGTAAATAGCACGGGTATTCCGAGGACGTATGTTTCGCGAGCCTTCGGTCGAATATAGCGACCTCCCTGGGTAGCACGAGGTTCCACCTGATAAAGCCGCAGATGTCATTCCAGATGCTCAGTTCAAAGAGCCGGCCTGCTCGTGAAAGTTGATCGAGTGTCGGGTTACGGAAGACGCGCTTGGGCCAACAGCCACCATTCCCGAGCATGCCAGGCACGCAGGAACCGGTCGGGAATGTGGCTTCGACGTGGACACCAAGAACTCATCGGCTGTAGTAGTGGCGGAAAATAAGGAGGAAAAAGGTCATCGCATGGTGCCAGGTGTGAAGTTTCGTGGCTTCGAACGATCGCTGGCCTTCCGTCTCTTGGCCGCTGAGCCCCGACCGTTACCCGTCCCAAACAGCCAGGGTCGAATACAAGGGTCTTGTGGTTATTTCTGTGCCTTTCTGACTTTGGTGCTCGTCCTTCCCATTTCCGTCTTGGTCATGTTCCGGGTTAATCCACCAATGTAGTCTTGAAGAAACTTGTTTTCGCTCTCAAGTTTGTCGTGGTCGGATTTCACGGCTTCGATGCGCTCGGCTAGCGCTTGGAGTGAGGACTGGAGGGCCTTGGCTTGTCTGTTCGTAGATTCCAAGATTCCATTAGTTTTTCTTTTTCTTCTTTTTGTTTTTTTTTTCACTCCTGCTTGTGTGGTGGATCGTAGTCGCGTCCATGGCAGATGTGACGGATAGATGATGGATGATGCCCAAAACTCACTCCTGTAATGTTTGCCTAGCTTCCTTCCCCAGTCGCTCCAGATCAGCGGAATTCCGGCGTGGACTCATGGCGCGCGCGTCGTCGGGCGGGAACTCTTCTTCTTCGATTTCGATTTCGGGATGATCTCGCGGTACAAGGATCGAGGCACTCGGTTTCCGACTAGCCATGCGAGGACGTTCAGATCGCCCTCTCCGTTCGGTTTCGACGTCAGATATGGAGGAAGAGGAGGAAAGTGAGGACATGTGCGAGCAACCGTTGTCGTTAGGGTGTGGCAGGGTTGGAACAGGCGAGGAACCGTGCATGTCTGACGTCGACGCCATGGTTTGTACGTGTTGGTGGTGGCGCCGGTGGTTGGGTTTAAGAATTCCTGTGGTTGACGGTGGCTTGAGCAACGCAATCAGAGCAACTCTCGGGCGGTCGCTGTGGCGGGTTTCCAGATTTTCCCGGTTGTTCAAGGTTCGGTAGAAATCCCACAACAGGAGATGGTCAACAATCGAATTCCTTCGTTCCTCAGTAGGCCGTGACTACCTCTAGCGATGACCTCAGATTTGTAACGATCTGCGTTTCGCTGGAGGTAGCTGTCGTCCAAGCAAACGGGTGGTGTTTCCCAGGCCGGCAGGCGAAGATTTAGCCGGAAAAAGCAACCCAGGACAACGAAAACAGACAGGCAGCTGAAGCGATCCGGATCACCCACGTCTGAGAAAAAGGGCGGCAAGTTCAGGGGATCGGAACAGAGGAAACCCTAACTGGATTCGATAGAACTCTGGCCGATTTGTAACAAGAAAATTGCAGAGCGGAGAAAAAAAAAGGGGAGAGCCGCCGAAAATAGTGAGGGTCAGAAAAGGGAGTGACCGAAAGGACAGACGTATCGGTTAAGCGATTTTAGAAGGATAGCCGATACAATAGTAGTGGTAGTAATAGGTAGTAGGAGTTGGTTGTATAAAGACAATAGCAATGCCACGAGCAACAGGTTATGTGTTCCCTGGGGGGGGGATTGCAGTGCAGTGGTGCTATCGCCAGTGTTCCTTTTTCGGGCGAAGGGTCTATTTGGATTAGGGAATTAGATTTATTCGCAGTCAAACTTGCGTGGGAGAAAGTTCGTTGGGCAGTCCGAAAACGGGCGAACTAAAATCTTGGACCGGGGGGGAGGGTAAAAAGTGGTCACTGGAAGTGGGTGGAGGGAATTGGTGGTCGAAGTGGGTTTTTTGGTTGTGGTGGTGGTGGTGGTTGTTGATTGAAGCCGTTAGGAACGGAAGTTTGTCACTGTCGCAATTCCGTGGATAGAATAGGGAAAGGAGGAGATGTAGGGAGGAGAAAGGCGTGAAGAAAAGAGGGAAAAGAGGAGAGAGAGAAGAAGAAAAAGAGGAGAGGGGAGAGAGGAAGAGAGGAAAGGGAAAAAAAGGGAAGGGGAGAGAGGAACAAGAAGAGAGAGGGAGCTTCTGTGTTGGTGGTAGTAGTGGAGGAGAAGGAGGAGCAAGAGGAGTAATAGTCTTAAAAAAAATTGGGGACACTGTACTAGTAAGAGCTGCGAGAGTCGCAGTATGAAGAGTTCGTCGCAATAATAATGATGGTTCCAGTGGATGTTTGGCGGGCAGAGCGCGGGTGTCGAGGTGAGTGGGAAATAATAATGGCGGTAGTAATGTGAGAGAGAGAATAGTAAGTGATAATCAATTGACCCAGGGACAGACACTTTTGGTCATATAATTCATTCGGCCGTAGTCACCAGAATGGGGGAAGTTAAGTAAGTTAGGTAAGTTAGTAAGTAATGAATGATACCAGGAAGAAAAAAAGCCGGTTAATGACTCGGTAATAAATGGAGACTAATATTACCCAATTCATACCTATGGGGGGTGGAGGGAAGAAGGAGGAGACAATCCTGCGATGACCTGCTATCACTATTACTACTACGACGACGACGACAACTACTTAGTCAGTTAGTTATTTGTCCACTTTTACTCAGAAGATACTTCCGATGACCAACCCTACAACTAACTAACCAACTGTATAAGTGCTTACTGGCTTATTTACTCAGCAGATGCGCTTCTATCTCGTCATGCAGGACGATATAACCTCGGATATGATTTATAAATAAAGAGGCGAAAAAAAGAGAAACAACAAGAAAGTGAGAGACAGAGAGGCAGACTGACAGAGAGCTGGAGATAGAGTACACAGCCCAGTAGAGACCAGTACGTATGCGATGGAGCCAGTGCACATACTTGGTGTACTTTTGGGCAGAAAACAGTCACAAATTCGGTATGGGAGGTACAAACAGAGTACGGAGTGGTACCCCGGTGGATGCTACTTTCCCGCTTTCAGCACTAGTGCCAGCGCACTAAAGGTGGGAAGACTCGTGGCCGCCACTGGAATGATATTCGCCGTATTTCCTGGGTAGGGGGTTATTCAGAATTATTCAGAAAAGACATATATCATCCGAAAAGAGACTGGCAAAAAAATTATGAAGAGAGAAATCAGAGAAGGGTAATAATATATAATATTATACAGAGAGTAGTTAAACCGGCAGTTCGGTCAAGTAAGGTACCCTGTGAACAAGGAAAAGAAAACTTCCCACGCGCTAAAAATCATTCGGGATGATGACGATTATCCTTTTTCCTTCTCTCTTTTTTTCCTTTTTGATTTTGGGCTTTTTCAAGATTCTCTCTTCCCGAACCAAGAACATAGCAGCAAGAGCAACAACAAGCAGCAGCAGCAGCAGCAGCAGCAGCACAACAGCACTGACTGTTGAATGTTTCGGTGAAGGAGCTCCGTTCGGCCTGCCTTCCTGTGGTTGGTGGGCGGCCGGAAGAGGGGAGGGGAACCACAGGTTTTCCACTGCCCTTTAGGGGTTCGTTCGGTGCCTCTAGCTCGGTTAGTGACTTTCGGGGCCCAGGATTTCAAGCCCCTTGGTTCGACTCTCTTTCTCCTTAGCAGCGAACCCAAATCTCCTAAAAGGGGGGGCAGAAGCCAACCCGCCCAACGAGAGAAAGATGTGGCCCATCGGAGGAATGGCGATGATCCTCATCTATTTCCCACCGCTTCCCACCCTTCCCCTTCCCAGTGCCACACTCAAAAAACTGTCTGTGTGCCGGTGCCGAGGAAGGCGGAGAACGGGCACCAGTGACCAGTGACCAGTGAGATCAGTGGCCATTGATCAGTGACCCGAGAGGAGCAATCATCAATGAGGATAGGAGGATGTTCGTTAATGATCGATGGCGATGATGTCGAAGCGTGATATCTTCTCTTCTTTCCCCCTTCTCTTTGCCTCATCTATTGCCCGTTCACGGACTGCTGCCGTGCCCCCTTTGGCTCTAGTTGTTCCGTCGCCACGGGTCAGTGATCACAATCGGCATGATTGACGACAACTCCGAACCATGACCATCAATCAGTCAGTCACTCCGTCACTCAGGGTCATAGCAATTCTCCGTGCTATATTTGCTAAGCGAGTATCCTTCCCCATCTCGCCATGCCCAACTAGTGAGACCAGACGCGCGCGCGTCTCTCCCTCCTCGATTGCGGCGGATCATTAAGCCACAAAAGGCAGGAAACTAATCCCTCTATGGCTCCATGGGGCGATAGTTGGTCGTAGTCATAGTCAGTTGGTCTTAGTCCAAACGTCTTTTCGTTTCTGATGTCTTCAGGGGAGGTCATGCAATGTCGATCGAGCCATCAGATTTGTGGCTTCGTCTCCAGCAAGTTACACCTGGCAGTATGGGGGTCCCTTTAGGGCCAAAGGATCTACCAAAAAAGTACCTAGTTCCATGCCCTATGGCCACCCGCTGGGTTAACTGTATGGCGTATGCAGATGGATGGGGTTGAATCACCATCAAGCAATCTATCACTATTAAACACGAAAACAAAACAAACTAAATTGTTGCTATTTTCCGCTTCTACAACGCCGGGGGG